GGAGGGACCTTGAATTTTGAAGAATTTAAAAGTCATTAAAAGACACCACAGAAGTCGGGAAAGCTCATTTCCCGCCACCTAGGAATCAAAATTTTCCCGGGGAAGAACCACAGGAGCTACGATGCAGCTACTCAATTTTTTTTAAAATGTATGTATACACACATAACAGGCCTATTTACTGTAATGAGAAAGTTTACCTTACCGTTTTCATGAGGGGGGAAACCTTGAATTTTGAAGAACAAAGTCATTAGACACCCAGCTTTAAAATTTCCCTCCATCTAGAAATCAAAATTTTCCCGGGGGAGGAATGTTGACCCCACCACCTAGATTTGATTCCAGATCTGCATGATTCATATTCCCATTCATCTTATAAGCAGTGGCGTAACAGGCGGGGGGCCAGGGGGCAGACTGTCCCCCTGACGGTTTTTACCGGGCTGACCAAGCCGTCGTACCAGGCAGGGTAAGAAGAGAAAAGAAAGAGGAGAGAGGGAGGGAAAGAGAAAGAAGGGGAAAGGAAAAAGGAAAAGAGAAGAGAAAAATAAAGATATCACAATACCCCGGCCTGCAACCCCTTCTCCACTTCAAAAAGTGTCCATATCGCATTTGATCTAAGCAGCCAGGTATTCTCCGCAGAGGTGTAACCACCGGGGGACAAGGGGAAAATATCCAACTGTGGAAAATCTTTCCCCATTGAATGCCCTTTTCACCCGGGAAAGTGCCTGAAAATCTCAAATTTTAAATCCAATATTTTGTTGAGGTAAGCCAATTTCCTCTAAAAATTGCACATTTTAATGAGTTTTGATCAATTCTGACGAAATTAGAATTTTAAAAACAACAATTTTTCGCGCACTTCGCGCGCATTTTTTAATGTTAAAGCTTGTGCTTATATTTAAAAACATAATAGTCCCAAACTTGAGTAAGAAAATTTAAGATATATCGTTTTACCTAAAAGAAGGGCCTCAATGTGTAATGATGGTGAAAGAATATGCCTACGATTGTAATAAATAAAACCACGATGAAAATGCTTATATTTAGTTTCAAACACACGTGTGTGGCCTATATTAATAATAAAATAAGCCCTATGTCGTATTGTTTTCTATATGGGGGGGGTATCACGGGGGGGTATCACACCAAGTCATAAATTACTAACCGGGAAAATTATTACCTTTGCCGCTTTTTACGCGCCTGCTTATAAGTGCCCCCCCCCCTTTGAAAAACGTTCCGACGGCCCTGTTAGCACCCGTGTGTGAACGCCCGATCGGTTAGCGCTAACCGTTACCAGGATCCGGATACTCTAACGGTTAGCGAGCGCTATCGGTTAGCATGATAAGCGCGTTTCTATCATCAATCAATCACGTGAACGCGTTTCAAATTTCCAGTTTCTTATTGGCCAGTGATTCGATCATCATTTTCTTGGAATCTGGATCGGAAAAGGACTTCCCCACCCTCTTGCAATTGCGTGACGTAATCAATCTCAATTCCAGCAATTCTGAAACTGAACCTGCCATCCGCTTCAAGCAAATTGTATTGACATTATTTTAATCACATCTTGCTGTTATTTCATTGTGAAAAGGTCCAAAAAATTATGATCACGACCCACCCAGAAAAAAAAATTCTGGATACACTCCTGTTCTGTATAATGTTATTTGTTGACTTTCTATTTGATTCAACATTTTAGACCACCTACCTAAAATAACACTTGTATTAATTTTTGTATTCCGTATTACTTAGTTTTGCCTTCATAACTTCGATATAAATTAATCGAAACAACGCAATGTCTAATCGTTTTATAGGCATTGTTACATGTCGTCCTGGGAAAAAGATAATGACGAAATAGGCCTAATTAAGCATTCCCTGAAAATGACAATATTTTTTCTGACCATTAAAATGTTATTATATAATAATGGAAAGCCGAAATTGTATTACATCATCTTGACCCTCGGAGTTTAAACATGGCTTTGCCTCTGGACCTTGTTACAACCGCTAATGTAGAAAACAACAGCTAATGTAGCACACTCCACAGCTTATGTAGTAAAACCCCCCGCTAATGTAGAAACCCCAACAGCTTATGTAGTAAAAAGAAAACCAACCCCAGCTAATGTAGAACGTTCAACAGTTAATGTAGTAATAAAAATTGCCTCACAGCTATTGTAACTATATTTTCGCCAGCTAATGTAGAATATAGTATAAAAAGGCGCCCACACTTCTCCAGCAAACGGTTTTTGAAAGGGGGGGGGGGGGGGGGGGGGGGGGTGGCATTTCATAAGGTAATAAATCCAGTATGCGAGCGAAGCGGTGGGGCCCTGAATATCTGACGAAGTTTGGTGAAATGTATTAGTTATTTTATAGGCATTAAGCTACTGTAATATGATTTCATAATTGTTGTATTTTCCGAAAAAATCATCGAAATCAAGATTCCACTGAGTATTCAGTACATTTTCACGACAGGTTGGGCAAAATTACACCTACACATGTTCTATTGTTGTCAATATTATACTATATCATAGAATCATGAAATGCCTTATAGGCCCTAAACGATAACATATATATGACTTGACCATAGTTTGTTCTCAATATCCTTGAATTAAAAAAAAATAGTTTTTAGATATTTCTGAGCGTTGACGCCGTATCTGTTTAAAAGAAAATCTCAGAATGTATGGACATTAAGAGTTTCGCCTGAGTAGACCCCACGAAGGCTCTGTCTCTAGGTCAGATCAGGTGCATTTTTACCAATTTTACCTAGGGCCTGGCAGTTATCTAGACTATGCTGATGAAATGAGAGTCCACACCACGTTGTTGGCGGTGACGCGAAAATTTCAGTATTTTATACCTCTGGATGCCCGAAAATGGAACTTAAATTACCTTTTTTTTTAATTTTTGACGAATTTAGTGTAAAAAAACATAATTAATTAAATAGGTACCAGAACTTACAATTCCAGAAACTACCATATCCAACTGAGCCCCACTATGGTTGGGACTCAGGTGAGAACATTTTGAGAATTTGAGACTCGCATAAATTAAGTCCTATCTCTCAAGAATCTGTTCATTTATCTTTTTATAGAAATTCCGTAATAAGCAAGACCGTATATACTCGCGTACAATGCGACCCGAGTATAGGACGACTCCTGAGTTTTTTCTTCCCGAGAAGATTTTTGGTTGATATTATGTATGTCGGGCGAATTCCTAATTTTTTTGTGGCACTGATACTGCATCTAGCTGGCTAAATGGAGCCAAATGCAAGGGTAATTTCCCAAATAATCTTCACCACCAAAATCGTATATCCCCGTATTTAAAAATTGTTTTCATTCATACAACATTTAGTTGCTTCATTACAGTAGTAAGTTCGAGTGTTACGGACGATCCGCACATAAGACGAACATGATTAAAAACATCTAAAATTTGAATGTCGTGCATTTAAGACGACCCCCTGTTTTTCGATCGTAATTTGTTAGTTTTAGCCTCGTCTTATACGCTAGCATATACGGTATTTGTTTTAAAACCCTAAGTCACCTGAGCGTTAGAGGATTGCCCCACACAGTGGCAGATTCAAGGGGAACCACGGCCCGGACCCTGTAAATATTTGAAAATTATTTTTAAGAATGGAGAAAAAAAACTGAAAATTATATTTAAATCTTGAGAGTGCCTTTTCCGGCCATCTAGAGGCGACGTAATCTTAATTTTTCTTACCTCACCCCCAACCACCTTGGTTGGGGGTGAGGTAAAATCTGTGAAGGCCCCTCTCTGGGCACCCTCTATTTCCAATTTCTCAATCCACCACTGCAAGGACCACCCTATCTGTGCGAAGGTCGTGAAAAATCCTGGATCAGCGCCTGGCCTATAGCATTTGACTTAGCCTATCATTTTGTTTCACAAATGACTAATTCGTAATGTCAAGCAAAAAGGTTTTCAATACAGTCATACCAACCGTCTCGCATGCGCGGGACGGTCCCGCATTTCAAAGTGATTTTGGGTGTAACACGCATTTTGCAGAAACACATGCTTGATCATAAATTTGTCACGCAGTACAAGTCTAGGCGTGATGACAAATAATCACAAATTCAGGGGAAAATGTATTTAAAATTGGAAGAAATTAGTTTTATTAAAAATATAAAACGGTCATGCAGTAATTTGAGTCATTGGAAGCTCGTGCGGTCTCCCACGTTCATTGTCACAACTTACCGTTGATTATTTGTGAGACTGAAACTGCAGTTGTCAGTTAGCATCAAACACACGCACGCAGTCAGTTAAGTACAGTATTTACGTGAATACTTAATTCACTGACGCGTTACTAAAAAGTACTATTGATCAGTATGGTTTTAGTTCTGGTTCTGGTTAAAGTGGGTAAAAGCCGACCTCCTAAAGACTCCAAAAGTGTAGGACCATGGCTCTTAATAAAATCTGGCCCGTGGGGTGAGTCTTCGACTCCACCTTCAAAATTATTTTTTGTTTTCCATAAACTTTGAAATGCACTTTCGTGCATTATGAGACCTCTATTATTGCTGTCTCTTATACACATCTTTATTTTTAATGTATTTAATCTTGAATTTCTGTTTCTTAATTAATTTTAAATAATTATTTTATAAAAATAATTGTTTTTGTATTATTTTAAACTTTATTCAAAGAGAAATTTCTGTACTTCAGGAGAAACGGGGTTTTTGTCTTTGTTTTCAAAATACCTATTTACTTTAAATTTTGATTTTTAATGTTAAGGAAATATCACGCGTGTGAACATGGCTCCTGTTGTATAGAAGATAAAATTATGCATGTAAGGTTTGTACGCAAGCTTGTCTTTGAGTCGGGTTAACCCACTGAAATCTAAACCAAAAAAAGTTAATCTGCTATCAACAAACGCCAAAGATTATGTTAGTTCAAGCTATATCTGGAAAAGCCTGGGAAGATTTGTTAATTTAGTAGACACAGAATCGAAGTGGTTTGAGGCTTTACAGAAAATAGCGCTATGTTGGCGGTGGTTTTGCCACCTGCTAATTTTCCCTACGGATTTTTTCCACCTGGGGAGTTATTCGAACGGCTATTTCCCTTCATTTTTATACTATTACATTAATAATCAATAGACAAAACTACAATAATAGAAGATTAGCCACAACCATTTTGACAAATAAGTTATACAGAGGATACTAAAACCCTAAACCAGATACAAGTGTTTCGTGGCGCTCCAATTCTGTAAGTCTGATTCATAAGCTTAGCAAGTATTACAATTTTATTATTTGAGGCTCGTATTCATTCTCACAATTAATGCCTTCAATACTCTGATATATATACTCTTCCACGTATGGCGAATTGTCCAGGCATTCATCAATTTTTTTCATGCATACCATTGGTTGCTTGGAGGTGACCAAAGAAGTAGGCCTACCTGGGGACTGATCCACTGCTAACGTATTACTGGTCATGGGCATATATGTAATTTTATGGACATCAGGGGTTCTGTTAGTCGAGATTGAGCGCTTTCTGTTTCGTACCACTTTTACGACCAGACAAGAAAGTGCGATACTAAGCACGCACACTAAAGTTAGACACAGGCCTATATAATAATAGTACGAACGAAATGTCGATGATTTATTATCTTCTTGAATGCTAGGCAAATCAGAGATCACCATAGGCATGTGAGTTATAGACGACTCTCCTTCACTGCAATCTCCACGAACTGTACACATTATGTGGATCGCGTTGATTAGCATCTCATCCGATGGTATTAAAATCGTATTCCTGCCAAACATTCCTGGTTCATCACTTTTCAACGAAGTGATATTGGTTTTCCATAGGTAGACTAATCCACCGTGATCATCTGCATCAGTAGCACATGTCACTCGATGTGTTCCATTTGGTAAAGTTTGTAATGTTATTGAGACGTTTAAATGGATTTTTACATTCAATTTAAAGTTACATTCACTGCCCTCGCGAACAGTGCAGCGCACCTCATTACCGTCCAACGATGGTATTGCGACGAACGAAAAATTTGTACTCACGACAGACGAAGTGGTTGCGTCACTGGTACTGTTTACACCTTCAAAGACACTCGCCCATCTAAAAAACGGATGGTCTATGCCGGGGTCTTTGTTTACTCCTGAGACTGAGCAACCAAGTGTAACATTTTCTCCAGAGACAAAACACTCTTTCGAAGGCGCACATGCGAGGACCTTCAGATAAAAAGGCCTATCGATATATTTGGTCTTGCTTTCTGCTGTGCACGTATACTCGCCAACATTATGCAGCTGGACTGGATGAAGCAGCAAAGATAATTCATAAGTGATGTTGTTATAGCTTATAGTTCTAGTTCTGTTTTTTCCCATCTTCAAATTGTTGTTACCTTTCCTCCAAGTTAGTTTAAATGATCTATTTCCATTCCGCAATATGCAAGTCAGTCTAAAATTGTTTCCAGCTACAGCTACGCCATTGTTTTCTGCGCTAATATCAACGTCGGTCGTTTCGCAGAGAACTACTAACAGGAGTGTAGCCAACGAAGAGACACATATCTCCCTGAAGACCGCCATGAATGATGAAATCGAGCAGACTGATACCCGGTACTGTAACAACGTGACTTACATAGCTAAGCGAAACTGAAGTCTGTTTATAAGAACACAAATTAACGGTACTGTAAAACTGTATCAAGAAGGAAGTTGTAAATAATATAGAGGCGGTCTCTGAATGTTCACGCATTATTTACTGTTTAGATTCATTTTTGTAAACTTCATCATTGTTCATGTGATACAATAAAGAATACAGTAAAAGGAACAAAGGGCCGGTCAAAATAAAAGAAGAACAGTTACAAAAATGATGAAAATGAAAGAGGAACTTCAAAATAATAGAAATCTTGGAAAACAATACTAACTTTCAGGCTGATAACAATGCGTATTTTAAGTTACAATGAGCTATTCCTCATAAATTGATTAAATCAGCATCTGTGTTACATCATAGAGAAAATAGAACAGATATCTCTATGGTTACCCATTGTACAACCCCTGTCGCCCGTCTTGTTATTCTGAATAAGGGGCGTGATTATATAGCCCCAGTAGGCCTGCTTCGTCAGTTTCACTGGCTCCTCATTGAAAAATAATAAGATAAAGATACATCAGAAAAAGAAAGAAAAGATAAAGATAGAAACAAAAGAGAAAGAAAAATGTAAGGAAAAGGTAGGCTTATGGAAATTCTAACAGTTGCTGCGTGAACTGATTGAATAAATCGTTACAATAACCAAACTATTGTATATTATTAATATAATCATTGAATTAATTGTTAAACTAAACTAAACCATAAAATAAATTGGGTAAATAATTAACTGTGCTTCATTACTATCTTGTTTTATATAGTGTCTGTTAATTTAGTTTTTGGCTTATTTTCGCTTATGCTATTCTTGATCGTATCGAGGTTAATTATGTTCATTATTATTATTATGATTATTAGGCCATTGTTATTATTATTATTTTATTATTATTATTATTATTATTATTATTATTATTATTATTAATGTTGTTGTTGTTTTTGTTAAGATAAGTTAACACAAACTGTTGTTATTGGCTATTGCTATTGTGGTTATAGCAGTTGTTGTTTTGGCGGGTATGGTATGGCGGTTGTATTGTATTCGATATGTTCATCAAAATGAACAATATTGTAAGAGTCACCACCGTCACAGGACCGGAGTCACCGGTACAGTTAGTCAGGTTTCAACCTGACCACTTTGTGACAGACCACAAGTTAATTGATTAGGTTTTGAATAGGAAAAAAGGGTAAATTCCACGTGTTTAGACTCAACCTACTCCCTCTTGACATCACACAGGAACCACAAGTCTGTGAACTCTGGGGTGAACCGGCTTATGATATGTTTACATCATTTTCTTCTATTTAGTGTAAGATTTATAATGATTAAAAAAATAGGATGCATTTTTTCTTCAGTTGACTTTTATCCTAATCAAGTAGGTCAATTACTACGCACGGTGAGCTTTTGCACAAAATCGGACTAAAGGTTCCCTTATACACTTGCCTAGTGACTTATATTCATTTCTTATTACCTAATCAACTGACAAGAAAAAACATGTATATTTATTCCTGATAGTTCTAGTACCCAACATTATTTTCTATAATAAATATACTGTAAATATACCTTTTTTTAAATACATGTCAAGTGCGGATCCAGAGTTTACCCTG